ATATGAGTTTGCAAGAAAATGCATATCATGAAAAGTATTGGATTATTCACAAGCTCAACAATGGAGGGTGATTTTTAATTAATTAGCACTTTTAACAAATTGGCGCAATTAATTGTTTCTCCTCTTCTTCGCTTTTTTTTCCCCACAATTTTCGTTTCCACATTGATGCACTTCCTTCCCGTTCTCTGTGGAAAAATAAAAATTGCAGAAGCGCGCACATTTCGCGTGAATGCACCATTGTACAATAGCGAAGAGAGCAAAAACGCAATCGTGTGCAATTCGTCAAGCGCTAAATCGGAAGTAAAATGCGCAAAATACCATAATCGTTCATTTACCTGCGTACGCAATTTTATAATCGCCAAGAGAGTGAAATTGACTTGAATGGCAGACGGGGGAAATGCAATTGTCGGTGGGAGAGATGACACTGGGAATGCTTTCTTCTCTTCCTATACCCAAAGATTGCCTAAGCTAATTAAGTTGCATTTTTCCTCAACCGTGTGTGCGCCCAGAGAAGCACATTTGGGGAGTTGATGATTGATTTTTTATCTGTCTTGCGAGTGTGTGTGTGTGATAAACAACTTTCTTCTTCATTGCAGAATGACTAAAAAGAGAAACTGTTTTCAATTTCTAATTCAATTTGATTGAATGAAAAGCAATGTATCTTCTTGTGTTTCTCTCACTTTTAAATTAACGGTGGTGTCACTTAAAGCGACTGAAGATGGATGGAAGGTGAATATGTAGGAAAAAAGCTCCCGGAAAGTTCTGCGAAGCCTCCTGCAGAATGAAACAGTTTGATGCATCGCACTTCATTCGGTCAACTGAGAGGCAGATCCAAAATGTGGCAGCATTTAGTACGCTTAAATACTTGACAGTGAGTGTAGAGGCGAGGAAAAAAACACACAGAAATCGCGTCGTAACCTTTCACGAGTTCAATGAAATGGAAATGTGTGGAAAATTCTCAATTTTTTCTTCTCTTCTCACTCTCTCTCTCTCTCTATCTGTCTTATTTATTTCACTTTCGACGATAATTTGAATACGAGTAACAATAGGAGGAATTATAATATACATGAATTTGCATGAATTGAGCATTGAATACTCTTTCGTAGCTGAAATGGTGTGGATGGAAAGAGTCTCCGACAGTAAATTATTAATTTTTTTTCTTTTAATTTCTCATCGTGACGCATATTCACGAAGATATCATGTTTTTTTTCGCAATGTCTGCTCCTCAATCCGTCCAATTCGTCACGTCATTTTCCACGGTGTACAGAAATCATGGTCATTTTTTGATAATGGCTGGTGTGATTGAAATTGAAATGTTGTGAATTGCGACTCTAAAGCTGTCAACAATTAAAAAAGGTTCGCCCTATGAAACACTTCCGCAATGTTCTTAAGGAAATTTCCAGTCAAGTCTTTTTGGGGCATCATTTAACTTCAAGAACAGCATTTTACGATGTCATACATTTATCAAATTTCACTGCAAATATTCATAGAAATTATAGTCAAAATTATACGGCCAATCAGTGAATGTTAAAAGCATAATTTCTTTACTTAGCAAGTCAATTCAAATAAAAGCATGAACATTGCAAATCAGAAAGTCTTCTTCCACTACTATTTTTGCTGCTTATTATCGATACACATCAACTTATTTTCCTTTTTTCAGTGCTGGCGCCTCGAAAATCTCACTCTTCTAAAAGAAATGTAGGCACGAAAGAGAGAAGCCATAAGTTTGCCGCACCGTCAGAAAAAAGGCAAGATCGCTGTGAAAAAATACGAACCGATAAATTCGATGGTGTTGCAGCCATAAATTGGTAATTTCGAATTAATTAATTTATAAACTCGTATAGCGGTTATAGGTGAAAGTGCGTGTAGACGCTGCTGGAGGAAGCAAAAAAAAACCAACCAAACTCACACATTCCAAATTGCATGTCCAGAAAGAGAAGATAAATGAGATGAGGTGAGCACGAGAGGGAAAAGCAGAGCAAAATAGAAATGTTTTGGCTTTTTGGCAACACAGCTGGTCGAAAAATTAAGAGTGAATGATGGAATAAAAGGTGAAAAATTTTTAAATTTGAAGCTCACCGCGTCACGATTTGACGCGTCGCGCCATTCGCTTTTCATTTAATTTTCATTTTCAACCTCCTCAACGCAGTTTCTCGGTCTCCCTTCACCATCTTTAATGGTGTGAAGCTCAGTTGGGTCGAAAATGTGAAACGACAACTATTGTAATTTAATTAATTTATAAGTATCACTCTTAACGTTTCAATTGTATGTATTTTACACCGCATTTGCTTTACATTTTACGATCACTGTGGAGACTTTTATTTTCTGTGGGTGGGAAAAACTTTTCATTTTTTTCCTACACGTCAAAAGGCATCGTGTTTTTATTTTACCATTGGCTTCAGTCTCACAAATTCCTGCTGCAGATTTTTTTTCTTCTCCACCATTAGCCTTTATGACTCCATTATCTTGGACACTTTTCCGTGGCTAAGAGCTCTAGTGAGACAATTTTCATTCGTCAAACTACATTGTCATATGATTTATGAACATCAAATATTATGTTGTCCTCAACTGTCTGGCTAAGATTTGCCAGTATAGTAAACAGCACAACTTTTTTTTGTCTAATGAACTAATACGGAAGCGAATCGTCATTCAACTTCATAGACACAATTTCAATGTCTCATGCACACAAACTTGGCTTTTTTTCAAGCACAACATTTTCCACAATTCCCCACAAATGATTGGTTGTGTGAAAAAGCACAGTGAGAGAGAGAGAGAGAAAAAAGCTCAAACACATATGAACAAATTAACCTTCAAGTTATTCTTTTTTCGCAGTCACACACTTCACTATTTTTCGGATATTTGACTCCCAATTGGAGTCGCACTGTCGAAATTAATGACAATCTTGAACACATTAAGGCGAGTGCTTCCCCAAACGTGACGTGTGCGCTTCTGGACAATGTTGCAGACTTTCCCATCTGCGAGTGGAAAAAGCCACCAGCGCTGTTTGAGATAAATTTCAAGGAAACGCCAATAATTGCGTTATTATTTATTAGAAAGGCATCGAAATATATTTAATTAATGTTGCAATCATGACACAGACTCTCAGTCTAGATCATAAGAGATGGAACGCGAGCTCTGGCTGAAGTTGGTGTTTATTTTGAAAGGACAAGTGACCATGAATATCCCTGAAAACGCCTAACCTTTGCTCAGTGTACAAATTGTTCTATCCAATTGGATAAGCAAACTTATAAGGTCATTTCGGAAACACTATATGGTTTCATATTGTACCGGAAAATGTTATTGTTTTATTGTTCGATCATACTTTAGTATAATTCTGAAATTTAAATTTATTCCACAAGAAATAATTATGCTTTATTAAAAGTAATTAGATAATAATGACTACAAATATGCAGATTCATTAATGAATACATTCAGTTCAAAGAAAGCAATATTTTCATATAAAGCTGTAAACAATTTAATCCAAGAGACCAAATTATAAAAAAAATGATGCTCTAACCCAAGAAATAAAATTTATCACAAGCTTGTTAAATTACAACGAATTAATTTCTTAGCATTTCAAGAATTTTGGGAAAATTGTGGACGATTCCAACCATCAACCAATAGAAAATGATTGGAAAGCTTTAATTAAAAGCACAGAATTATCTTATGAAATATCAATCAGAGATTGTAAAATATTCAAAAGATTGTACTCAAGATGTTCAGAACCAGACGTGCGATTTTATTTCCATAAAATTGATATAAAAAGCCCTCAAATGGTGATTAATTTGTAATTGAAAAATCTCATCAATCTTGAGAATAGATAAAAAATTTTAGGCCCTGTTACAATCTGTGTTATTGTTATTTAAAATACAGTTTCCCGATAGTAATCAAAATGTAAACAGCATACATCAAATGCTCTCGGCATGACTGTGATCTGACATTCATCGCAACAACGTTTGTGGGTGTTTTTCGCCGTTGCACCAGGCGCCTCCACACGCAATCGCGCCTTCTCCTTGACAGTGGAGACGCCTTGTACCGCGGCGCTCAATTTCGAGCTTTCCTCTCTCGCCAGTCGAGCCAGCATTTCTGTACAAGGAAATGCATGGAGTGCGATCATGATGCCTTCACAGCCACGCTGTTGACAATCTGTATTGCATGATTTATCATTTGGCTGGCGAACATTCAATTCCGATAAACGAGCGATAGAGAGAATAGACTCTCTCGCGCTTTAAGCACACCCTGGTACACATGAACATGTCTGATATCAGAGTTGGGAGTGAGCAACAGAGACAAACAGCACTGAATATGATTAAGCGAATCGCCTTGTTTTGTATGACGCGCACAACAAAACACTTGGAACAAGGATTATAATTGACCTCCTGACAAATACATTCTCACATCTCTTTTCTCGCTCGCATCGGCGATGTATGTAAACATGGCTCAAAATCAACTACAGTTCAATTAGTTCCCTGATTTGTTCCCCCCGCAAAATATGAATTGGTTCCTTGACTATGGAAATTTCAGCTTTGTCGGAAGCAAGAGAGCAAAATCAAAGCTTGCTCACCATAAAATTACAGTTTTCCTTGCTTTCACTGATAACTTTCGATTTTACTCCGCTAATATTTCTCGTGAAATATCAACCAGAGAGGCTTTCCAGCATCCGAAAAGCCGAGCAGAAAAGATTGTTTCTGCTGGCAAAATGCACAGAAAAGCAATGGCAAAGTGGGAGACAGAGTGCAAAATGGGGCCAATTTATTTGTAAATTTATTAAAGGAGTCAAGTGTAAATATTGCTCTAGAAAAGCCAACATAAACACACAGAGAAATTGTGCAATTTTGTGCAAATTTTCGATGATGACACTCAAATAGTAATTGTGTCATATTATTTTTTTTTTTGCCCAATTGTCCCCAATTTGTTCGAATGCAAGGTGTGCCTTCGAGAAGAGACAGAAGACGTGTTTCTTGGCCTGTGCAGTAGGAAAGGATATGACAATAACTCACCACTGTTGGTTGAAGATGATATTTAATCCAATGAACAGCAAATCAATTGAGATAATCCCAAAGTGTGCACCAAATGTGTTAATCCAATGGCTTTTTTTGCACTCTCACAATTCACTTATTGATGTATCAACTCTTTTCAGTAACAAACCAAATCTCGAAACCGTCACACTCGCACTTAACTTTATTTATGTTTTCGCGCAGGTCCCGCGAATTAACAGTAATTTTCTCTCGTGGAGATATCTCGATTCACTTAATAAAATTGAGAATTGTATAGAGAGAGAGTATTGAAGGCACAAATTGTTATTAGTTTTAGAGTTTTGCCCAGGCCGTTAAAAGCGAAAAAGTCGTCACATTTGTGATGTTTATTCGGCTGGTCTTGGGAACCTTGAACACGTTTTGGTTTGTAATTGATGAAGAAATAAATTTATTTAAAAAAAATAATACAAGGAAGTATAAAGTCGAGATTGGAACATATTAATACACATGTTCGTCCTTGTACAATGTGAGTAATGGTTTAGGCGAGACAGAGAACGAGCGAAGGTGGTAGAATGAGATAACAAAAAATTGCTCTATAGGCAATATCACCACTTAAATGCTCTGTATCGATGGAAAAATCACACTGATTTTTATATTCCTCTCTCACCCACTCTGATAAGTTTCCTCTCTGTTTAGCATACAGAACACACTGGGTTGCAGTACCGAAGGAAGCGCGCGCGCGCGATGCGCTTTCCTTTGCCAAGAACTTCCACTTTGAATCACACCAAACTTCCGAATTGTCCCCCGAAGAATGGCAGCGAGCGCTGAGATAATATAATCCAAGTCAAGTCGGAAGACACTGAACAACAACTCAATCACTGGGGGACTCTGTGCAAGGGTGCAGAATCTTCTCGCACCCTCGTGACAAGGAAGTGACGAACAGTGAAAATGAAGCGAAGCCGAACGAAAACAATCTACGGAAAAAATGCTCACGTGCACTTGTGAGGAACACAACCGCGACCGCGTTCAAACCAAGCAGAAGTCATCGACTGACTGATCGTGTTGAGCTTTCATGTGGCGGGAGAGTCTCGGCGTTTCGCGAGTATCGCGCAAACTCTCTTCGCTCTCCCGCCATGCACGCCGTCAAGGCGCTCTCGCTCTCCGGCTTGTTGGGGGGCCGCTCTCACGGCCAATTACATAAAAAACGTATTTATGGGGAATTGGGAGACTCTCGCGAGAGGGGCGCGCACACACGGAGAAAATGCCGTGTGGCGGGAAAAGCGTCGTGCGACTGGGAAGTTGCATGCCGCGCTTCTGGACGGTCTCTGTCAAGAGCACATTTCGCAAGTCCCTTCACCCACACACGCGCGCCAAGATGGCCCTTCGCCGCGTCTTATCGAGCGCTTCGACACGTGCCTCCCTATCAGCCTCAGATGTCCTCCAAGCACTCTGCCGAAAGATAGCAGTAGCTCTGGCCAGCAAATCAAATGCAGAATGAATTTCTCGTTATCAATCTTCGAAAGATACGCAAAAGGAGCTGAGCGAAGATAAATCGGTGTGGGAAGAGATAGAATGACCTTAAGGCAAGCCCTTAATGTCGTGTAGTAATTCAGCAATTGCTCTATCTATCAATTTTAGTGTATCATCGCATAGCAAAACGTCTTTGGCGTCTGCTTTAGTTTAGTGCCAGAAGAAATGAATTCCTGGTATTGATAAGATTTTTTAAATTTTACAACAGCTCAAGCACATATAGAAGCCTCACTATAATTATAGCAGAAATAACCTAACTTGAACCTGAATTGGTGGTGAGATGCATAACAATATAGCGAATATAGCAGATAAGATGTGCTATAAAATTGTAAATGAAAACTCATCATGTTATCCGTTCTGATAAGGAAATTTATACATGAATTTGTATTTTCTTGATTACCATTTATTTTCTTTTACTTCCACACAACCAAAGACGACTAGAAGTGGCCTCGGAAGACCCTCACTTAGCGAAGAATCCTTCAAATTTCGATAGCAAGTGAGAAAAATCTATGCGAATGCAATGCAAATGAAAGCATTCTTGCAGTCGAGTCATCATCTGAGAGTTCATAAATCTCTAGGAGCTTCCTTTGGCACCTGGCTAATGACACTGCGCGCTGTTCTTGGCCGGGGCTCCCTATTGATTTGTATTAATCAACATGAATGAAGCGACATTCCCGAGATTGATGAAGTTGCGTAACCATTCTTCTTGTCGTTGGCAAAGGCACAAGAGCATCTCTCCCACTTGAAGGTTGTTGATCTCTCAGTCCGATAGGCGCGTCACAAGATTGCGCTTTAATTCACATTTCGTACAGGGTCCTTGGGAAACATTACTTCTGCTGTGTTGCCTCTTATCTAGGAAGTTTATCGCGCTGAATTATGACGAGCGTATCTGAGCAATATATGCACTATGTTCTTCTGTCACCCATTATCTGCGACTTCCTTGAGGTGGGCTTCGGAGTCCGCGGCAGATGGTGCTAAAAGTGTCTCTCTGCACGAGGAGCTTCGCACCCCCTCCACGACGAGCTCCAACACGACACTTCAAGGCTCACCTGAGTGTTACGAGCCAGAGACTCACCTGAACTGCGGGCCGCAAGAGCGCAAAAAAGCCCCCCCTTTCCCCGCCCGAAACACGTTGTGCTCGTACGCAAGGTCAGCATTTGATGATTTATCCAAATTTGATGATTTTCACACACTAACGTGGCGGTGGGCCTGACACGGTGACTCGCGCTGTGCAAAATGATTGCGTAATCCATCCGAAATGGCCATTTGACTCCCGCGGCCGCGCAGCTCAATCAGCGCCGAGTGTCTTGTGCAGATTCAGTTCCCCACACCTCAGGTGAATTGATTTTGGAGTATACCTCATCGCTTGGGGACAGGAGCGAAAAAACTGCGCGCGAAAAAGACCGCCGAAGGTCGCCTATTCGAGGTTCGAGGCGAAATGTTTCGCCAGCAGTCAAGATCGTTCATGAGTGGTGTTTTTTCCTCACATAGCCAAAGATAAACACACTCGCAGGAAAATCACATTTTCACATTCATGTATGCTTGCCCGCAAACCTGTGAGAACCGTTGGACTATTTTTTTTTTTACAACTCTCTGCTAATAGAGATCAGTGAGATTTTATCAGAGTTCCTCTTGCTGAAATATCTCACTCAAAATAGAGAAGAGTGGGGCGGTTTTAGGAGCTGATTTAAAAGTTTTATTGCGCTTGGAGAATCTCTGGTTCTTCCATGAATTTTGGCCTCTACACTTTTGACATTACTTAACCAGCAAATTTGGCTGATATGGAAATCCCAAAGCCATGAGCCGAAAGCTTGATTTGACGATAGTTGCTTAGTTGTGGGTTGAGGGAAAAATACGCATGAATGCAGCTTACGCAGAAATTTGCTCACCAAATAATGTCAAACAACATTGAAGATGACCTTTTTTGCCCAAGACAAGTCGATGACGCCTGCCTCAAAATTGGCAATGACCGGTGACAAAGCTTTCAGTAAAGCGATAAAACAACTTTTCCAGCGTCGCAGAAAAAACAAGCAGAAACATTCATTGAAAATGCTCATAAATTGCTCGATTATCTGGACGAAAAGGGTAAGTTTTCACCTTCAAAAAAACCTCTCGCAGAAGTCTAACAGACATCTTCGCCAAAAGTCTGACCCAGAAAGAGTCACAAAAGTGCCCCTTTTCCATACTTTCTTCCAATTCTTCGCAACCACGAAAAATCCATGTGAAATTCGCACTCACGAGACAATTTAGTCTCCTCGGAAATGAACTTTTTTTTTTTCTTCATTTATTGTAATTAAAGTCATTTCTATTGCAGTGGAATCACTCTAAGCAATTGTTAAGCTCTCCATTTCTTCGTGTATTTTCATTTAATTTTCCTTTCTGCGTTCACTCACACAGTCGCTGGTGGATGAGAATCGCATTGCAATTTCTTATGTCCAATGTATTCAAATCAAGAGGGGCAAATCAATTGTGTGAGAGAGAGAGTAAGAATTAAATCGTAAATTACATTTAAACATAGAGAAGGAGGAAATGGAGGTGAACTCGTGAGTATTGATTTTTTGACGTTTCAGCACTTTGACGCTCACTTTTCGCACTGCACAGCCTCTGAGATTTCATTTCATCCAGCAAGATGAGAACTGCTCAACATGTGTGCATTAGGAATTGAAGAAGTGAAAAAAAAAATGTAATGTTAATTATAACATTCATGTTCCGCTCTTATCGGGAACTAATCTCGCATCCCAACACTTTCTCGCCTTTGCGCAGTTTGTTGCTTCAACGGCCACGAGAGATCCTTGGGAGAAGGGGTTGGGATGCGAATTTGGGCCACGAGGAGGAGCGCAAAGGAGGTTGATCAAAGAGACTCCTCATGCCGAAATGGCTCGCGCATTAGATGGATTGCCGATAACGGGAAGAGAACTCACCCTTTGGGAGGTTTCGGCCATAACAATTAAGCGTGCCCGAGAGAAGCCAGGTGCAAAAGCGCCCCAAACGCGCATTCCATCGGCTTAGATGGGCACCGTGTAATTGCAAATGTACACTGGAAAAGGCGCGCAACTGCATGATTTATTTGTGGCACGCTCTCGAGCAACAAATTAGCAATTTGGCACGTTGTCCTCGCGAAGGCACTGAAACATTTTTTGGCCAGAAGATGTGAGTGAACTTTGTTGATCTTGAAGTTGAACTTTTCAATACTGACTTTGCGGCCAAAATTGGTCGGCAAAATTGTGCCATTTCGAGGAGTTGATCGATCTCACCGAAGGTGCCGCACAATGCCAAATTGTGCAATCCGATAAGCTTTTGACTTGGCTTTTCAGAGGTTCGCACACGGAGTTGAACTTACTCTAGACGAGATGAGGAGACTGGCGAGTTTTCAAGCAAAAGGCCAAAGTAATAAGAGTGGCAATCAATTTTAATTAAATATGGTTAGATTATACATTTTTATTTACATTTATTCATTTGTTTACGGAAAAAATCGCTCTTATCTTAAGTGTCTTTCTAATTCTATAAACCATTGAGATATCAAAGGAATATCACAAATATATACTTGTTCTTCTATAATTCCTATTGACGCCCAAGAATTCAATTTGATTACGCTAAACTTTGACTTCAGCGCTTTATTCTAAGACCAATAATCCACCTCTGACTGACAGTCTATTTAAGTTATAGAGCCGAGCATTATTGGCCTTTAATGGCCATACTTTCTATGCCTTGAAGCCTTCGACATTCTTCAAGTAAATCTACCCACGAAAGTGCTTTCCACCATTATAATTTCAAACGAACAGACTCCAGAAAAGACCGCTCAGTCTTCTAATTCTAATGCATAGAAATTCTTGTGCCTTCTGGGAAAGTTGCGCCGAGATTTCGAGGTTCACTTGGTGTAATGCAAATTTCTGCAGAATGTCGTAAAATTCACGAGATGCTTCACGATCTTCTGAGAAAGATCTCAGCGACTCTCACTCTCCTGGGCAAAAGGCGGAGAGGCGCGCGATGGCAATACATCAAGAAAAGTGTAACTTTAGTTGCATATGAGTGTGTTTGCGGGTGAATTGTTCATGCCCAGCAAGAAGTGCATTGGGTGCATTGTGTTTTGACTCCCATCAGCTGCGGAGGCTCTGCAAAGAGGCCCAGGCCAACGGGAGAGAGAGAGAGTGAAAGAAAAGAGTGCATTTTTGCGAGTGTTGCACATAATTGCATTTGCCGTACAATTGCACTCTTGTTGTATTTGACGTGGAGAGAGTGTGTGTAGGGCACAGCGTTCATTCACCTCCAACTTAACTGGCCATTGGCCGATGCAATGCATCTTTCTCGGGCCTGTTCTCGCAGTTGAGCCTTCTCTCCCGCTTTTCGGGCGACACGAGGTGCCGCTTTTCCCCGAAAATATACGCCACACTCACCCTCTCGCGCGCCCTCGCGCCACCCCGCCAAGTGGCATTAATTTGTGATGGAGAATAAATCATGGCAAGACCAGCAGCAGCACCCAAACACCCACGAAGATGTGGCCCGAGGAGATTCCTCCGGATCACATTGTCTTGGGATTGCAGCCAAAACCATCTTTGGCGGAATCCGTTAAACTCCCGCTGCAATCGATGGAGAAATTCATGACAAATATTTCACATAGTCAGAGGCATTCCTTACGTAACTCCACACACAAGAGCACAGTGAAGATGCGAAGAGGCGAAATGAAGATTGAAAGAAGGAAGGAAAAAGAGAGTTTGTACTCCAAATCCCCCCGAAGCCGTTCTTGGCACTGCATAGAGCGAAATTCTGTACATATCATTTCAATAGAATGAACGGAAGGGATATCTGGCAGTCTCAGTGCTGTATATTCGGCGTCTCTCCTCCTCGCTGTCCAGCATTTCGTGAAATGACGTGCCCCTCGCGGCACACAGAGTAATTGTTCTCGCCGAAGATAATCTCACTCCTATGTGATGATGTTATTACCCTTTTACGCTCAATGCTTCTCAATTCTTTGATTCCATTGAGTCGACATCATCAGCACAGTTTCTAAGCGATCGTCATCAGCGCGAGATGGACAGCGTCAGTGGTGATCTACGATTCCTAGCTTGCTGTTGGGATAGGTCATCACATCCCGAGTGCGCGTGGAGAGCAATCTCCGGAATACCACTTAATCCGCTCGCCGCGTGGAATTTACTACGCTCAGAGGGAATTTCAAGAAACACGGGAATTTCTACAATGGAGCAAAAAACAAAGTCCAATGCTAATTATCATTCTCATCTCCTATAACTCGCACCTAATGCCACTCACGGCGTCCCACTCTTGTCTATCGATACGAGTTTAACCAGTCAATTATGCGGTGCCTAAAGTTCAAAGATCAATAGATCAGCATTTGGGATGTGGGCAAAAAATGAGTCTCTCATATTGCAAATATCGCGAGAAGACTTGAAATATTGTGTGTAATTGAATATTTGAAGGACAGCGATTGGAAGCAGTGATAGGAGAATATGAAGCACCTTGAACGGTGTTAGTGGAAATTGAAACTATAAATTGATAAAGTACTTTTAGTCTCGTTATGTCGCTTTTATTGAGCCGAGTGTTGATATCACGAGATAACAGAATGAATGTACTTATGTTGATAACGTCCAACTATTTTAATATTGAGAACCTAAAAGTGTGATATGGAAAACCCGAGGGGTTAAATCTTGAGTCGCTTTCTTCTTCACATTGTTAGATTTTATTTCCTTAGATTTTTAATTATTCTCTCCGTAGAAGTGGGGAAATTTTGGGGTTTTCTTAATACTGGAAGAAGATCAAAATTGAGGTCCTTGACTGGGTGCCAGAATCTCCAGGAATTCTTGCAATTGTCCACTGAAGTGCAGTTTTGCGCGCCAAAATGCTGCTACAATAGGAAATTGAATTTATAGATCAAGAGTAACAATGGTTTATTGAGTGCAGCCGCCAGCAAGTGCAATGGCATCGTAAAACGACGACGTTGATGAAGGCGGGAGAAAGAAAAAGTACACAAGGCGGACTTAACTATTGGCGCAAAGGTAAAATGGTTCGCAGAGTACAATTTGTTTTTCCTCCCGGCTTTCGTCCGCCGCCAGAATACCCAGAGTGCGAAAGAAGTAAAAGCCAGAGAAGACAAAAAGTGTGTCTAATTGCATTAAGAAAATAATATTAAAAGCATGCAAAAATAAAGTGGTGCTGAAGCAAATTTTCACTTTGGCGTAATTTCCATAAATTTCTTCAGCGTCCAACGAGTTTATTGACCTCTTTCTCCTTGCCAAGACAGTCACAAAAGCTGGCGACGGTCAATCAGCGATCAGGAAAAGAGCGATGGTGGATGGAAGAAAAGAGCTCGCTCGGCCACGAAAATCATCGACTGGGAGGAGAGGATTTTCCCGCCGTGGGATTTTTCGCGAGGCCGCACAAAGTGACTTCCTGTATGGAATAATATCTTATAATATCTCGCCATTCGTATTTCCATTTCACGATGTGAAATGAAAAGTAAAAATTTCCCCCTCGAGCCACGAGACACTGGCGGAGAAAGAGAGAAAAAGAAATTAGAAAATTACACTTTGCAGTCTTTCCTCTCTTTCCACTGTTTGCCACGAAAAATACACTTCAACTTGGGTGTAATTTCACTTTTGCCGCTCTTTATATCAAACTCCGATATTAGTCTTATTCCGCGGCCAACGAGAAAAGCCATCATCGTGGTCGTGGCGGTGTTTTCATCTCCGATTCGCGATGCTTGTGTGTGAGTCGCATTTTTCTATCTCCTCCAGAAGAGAAACTTTCTTTTTCAGCTGCAATTTTCATCACCAGATGCACCAAAGCTCGCGATGAGGCGAAAGAATGGCCAAAGGTGGCAAATTGCAAAGTTCATTCTCAGCTCTGCAACACGTGGATGACAAAGGATGGGAATATTTCTCAATTATTCAATTCTCATTTGCATTAAAAGAGTCGTTCTGTAGTTTTATTTCATTCACTGTACAGATTGCAAGATCGCAATGGGATATCAAGATAAACAAACTGGAGTGGAATTCAATTATCTTGCAATATCACAAGAAATTATTAAAAATAATTACTGACTTTTATTTTATGAATACAAAATAGAAAAAACAAACCTTAAAAATTCTCTAATTCATTAACTATTAATAAGCAATTAAATTGAATTGCATAATAAATGATGTTTAAAAAAACGTTGCACTTTTCTGTTTGAATGTCTTCTCTCAGCTTTCAGCGCCTTCAAGCGGCGAACACTGATTCCATCCTCTCCAGACTTGACTTTCCGGAAAGCATTTCGATCTGTCACTTCGCTTGGACTTTCAGTGGAAAAAGTTAAGTTCCGTGTGCGTTCTCTAATTTTCACTGAATAATCACAGAAAAAGGTGAGCAACTGTGTGAATTGTATCTAAAATCCGTAGCCCAACTCTCGAGACGCACTTTTTGCACAGAATTCTGCTGAGAAGTGCAGTAAAAGAGAGTGAAATGTGTGGAATTCTGAGGGGCGTTTATTTGGGCGTCGCCGCCATATTTGATGGCTGGTCATGTTCCGGATTCGCCAAAATTGTGTCCTTGGGAGTGATGTGTGTGAAAATGTGCTTTGTTTGTTTGCTTTCAGGCTTCTGAGGACCGCAGAAATGTCACGCTATCGCGAATGGGATCTTCAGTGCAAAGTCTACGTGGGCAACTTGGGCTCTTCGGCGTCCAAGCACGAGATCGAGAGTGCTTTTGGAAAGTATGGTCCGCTGAGAAACGTCTGGGTGGCGAGAAACCCGCCGGGCTTCGCCTTCGTGGAATTCGAAGACAGACGCGATGCTGAAGACGCGGTTCGCGGTCTGGACGGAACGTGAGTTGCCGCGCAGATTGAGCCTTGCCAGGTGGATTTTATTCTCATGTTGTGCCTTTGCTTTCAGGCGCTGCTGTGGAACTCGCATTCGCGTGGAGATGTCTTCGGGGCGCTCTCGTCGGGATGATCGTCGCCGCGGACGCAATAGGTACAGGGGCAGGTAGAGTAAAAGATTGCCTAATTTAAGTGAATCTCACGCTCAGTGATTGCCCAGTGAATTGCAGCCCTGTCGAGAGACACTCTTCATCCACCGGCAATTCACTTCTGTAGAGTAATTTCGCTGTCCAGAAGCACTTCATCGTCATATTTGGCCTAAATCATTTTCACTTTGATCTCTTCTGTGTGTAACAGAAGTGTGCAAATTTATTCATTCTCATGTTTTTTTTTCACTTTTCATTCTTCTGCAATTTCAAATGAAATTATTATTATTTATCTGTGGAGATACACTAAAATTAGACGTAGAACAATCTACCATGCCAAAACTCTTTATTTTATTTACTCTTTTTTCACCTCTTTGGAATGACCAAACAGGTAATTTATTAGAGACTACAGAAAGACATTTTTCACTTCTATTCGAAATTCAATCTTTGGTTCTTTTCTAATGTACACTGAGAAGACAAACACACATACTTTGATGGTGAAAGCTTTACTTGCTGTGCGGAAATTGTCCAGAAGAGAATCAATTTCCCCACAGCAAGCAAGGAAAAGACACAAACACTCTCACTCTTCTGTAAACTGTATAATTTTTCTCCTATCCATGTTTCTTTGCTATCACCAAATATTATGCCTTGTTTGTTTTCTCTCTGAGGCTCGTAGAAAAATATGTGATTTTAAAATGGCGTGTTGTTGCGTGAAAATTTCAGGATGCTCTCTTCCATGATCCACAACCACCACAATCATCACAACATCCACAAGTACACATCTACCGTAGCTACAATTGCCAAACTACTTTCTCGCCTTTTCCTCCCACTCTTCGCGATCACCTGAAGAAGTGGCCACACAATCTTTGGGATTTTGGGCATCCTCATCTCTTCTCGGCCACTCGTCGACAATTGCGCGCACTTTCACTGCGCGTCGCCTCGTCCTTCGGCTGGCGTGTGTCGACTGGAACACATCCTCCGGCTCTTCTATTGTCTTCCCGGCAGCGCAATCCTCTTGTCACTTCCCTCAGCGACAAAGCCTCATCCACAAAACAAGCTCATCAAATCGCGGCACAGCGCAATTTTGATTCGTAATTTTTACTTTACGATTAATGCCTTCTCCATTTTGACAAATGAAAATGATGAAGCGAAAGTTAGTCAATTTGTTTGATGTGCCACGAATTGATGGAGAGAAAAAGAAAAACCTTCAGTGCATGAAACTTCCTACCAACCATCATAATCATCATGTGTTTGCAAAATGTGGCCCCAAATGAAAAATTGGGGAAGGGCGCCAAGATACACACAACCCAACCCGATCGGCGAGCCAAAATCTCCTCCTCAACCTTTTGCTCCACTTCAAACTTCGAGGAGAAATTGCTTCGACCGGCCAAATTGTGTCTAAAAAAAAGCACCGCGCGCCATCAGCGAATCCCTCCGTTTCACCATCTCACCAATCGACCAACCAACCAACCTCAGAGTGCTCAACAACACATCTCTTCTACACGTCTCCGCTTCGCACGCGCGCAATGTCCAGCGAAAGACTTGTTAGCAAAATCCAACCCCGATTCGACTTCTCGTCTTCTTGACCCGCACCAAAAAAAACCAACCAATCTAAACATTCATCTCGTCTCATCTCAACGCTCTCAATTGTCACAAAAAAAAAATCTCCTACAACGCACCGAAATCAGAAAAAAATGGTCTCTCGATCAAATTGGCAGTCAAAGAGAGAGCGAAAAAAAAAACTGAATGCTTGACTCGATTTCCGATCAACAACTATACTACTCTTCTGCTATTTTGCCATACTACCTTCTACTACCAACTACTACATCGTTATCAGCCACGGCATCATTTAGTGGTTTGTTGTCTCATTAGTTTGTTTTCTTTGTTTGCATTTTGTCGTTATCACTGTGAATTGAATTGAATTATGGGAAGAGATATCACTTATCAGTGTGTCAAGTTAGATTAAAAGAGGGGGATAAATTGGGCGAAAGAGCGAAACGGTTTTTGAGCACCGATTAGAAGATTCTCTGCAATCGATTGGAGAATTGAATTTGGCAAAATTGAGAAACTAAGCAAGAGTGCTTCGTTGTTTTGCTGCTCTCTTTTGATGTAAGAAATCTTTGAATATTCTTACAATGATAGAAAACTTTAAGTGTCGCTATATTTCTTCCGCTAACCGGAATTCTTACATTAACTAATATTAGTTATGCTTTACAAATACCAAACAATACGAAAAAAAAAATGAAATGAATAATGTTAGTAAAAAATCTAAAGTGAATTTGAAGTAAGAACTAACTGAAATGTTAAATATTTAAGAGTTTTTTGTTTTTCTCTGTCTGTGAATTCAATTTTAACCTAATTATCTGAGAATACGTTGTTATTTTTTGTCCAAAACAGCTTCGCTCTTTCATCAACGTCATTTCCTATCGTTTAGTGAAGGAGTTCCGAGAATTCTTTAAGATTATCAGTAACGATTTTAGGCAATGATTGAAGAGGAATTTTGGTTATAAATTCGTCAGAAAGATTAATTTAAACTTTTCTGTGTAAATATATGGAGCCAATGAAATGCAAACAAATGTATTAAGAGACTGTTTTGATAACGTGACAATTTGGGGAATTGATTAGGCTCTCTTTCGGGGTTTTCGCCAGGCGGAAATTGTATGTTGTTTGTCTCCACAGGTCACGATCTCCGCGCCGCTCAAGGACACGCTCGAGGAGCCTCTCGCCGCGCGACCGCCGCAGCCGATCAGACTCGCGCGATCGCCGCTAAGGAGAAAGGACATTTTGCACTGCTGATGAAGATGAAGAAAAAAACAGAAGTGTTTTCCTTTCTACGGTATAATTATACATTAATTCTTTTCTAAGGAAATCAATAGATTACATGAGTAACTTTTAAGGTGATGCCTCTTTATTTTTGAACAATGATTTGAACTTTGTGTGAAAGAGGGAAGAAGGAAATACAAAACATCTCAAAGTAAAAAATTAGATTGAGAAAGCAAAATCATTCCCACGCATTGTCCTCTTTTTTTTTGTCATAATAATTTAAAAACGAAAAAGAAAAAGAACGAAAAAAAAGATAAATTACTGTCCCTGATAAAGTTTCATGCTTGAATTTATCACTACATGATCTTTTATGGTACTTTGAGATGAATAAAAACTGTTGTAGAGCCATAGAAGAGTTGTTTTCAGCGCACTGTTCTTCACAACCAAATCAGTTTTCCGTTCAGTTTTCCCTTCCTCGCCGTCACGGCGATCTTGCACTCGCTGAACACGCTGAGTGTCAGCTTGGAAGTGATGTCGTGCTTGCCTTTCTTCACGATCTCGATCGTCTGCTTGCTGTCGCCCACGAAAGACGCCTTTCCGCCCCCGAAAGTCACCTTCACGTGGTGATTGGTGTCGATGAGGATCACTTCCACGAAGCTCAGGCCCAGCTTGTACACGGCGGCGCGCATGTCAATGACGCGATTGAGCGACTCCAAGTACTTGAAGAAGTAGAGATTGGTGCTGTCGGTGCTGGCCAGCTTGGCGCTGTACTTCTGCGCATTGCACGTGTTTGTGATCCCGTGGAGCTCCTCGCAGCTCAGCTGGGGCGTCGCGGCGCCAGCCACCGTCGCCGCGAGGAGTCTGTGCACCAGGACGTCCGGATAGCGGCGAATGGGGCTCGTGAAGTGCGTGTAGATGGGAATCGAGAGGAAGTAGTGGCGGAACTCGTCCTCGCTCTCAGTCATGCCGCTGCAGAAGTATCGCGCGCGCATCATTGGCTTCGTCAGCATGCACGTGAGCACAACCTTGGCGGCCTCTTTGTCCTTACGCTCCGCAATTGCCTTCTCCAGCGACGCCGAGATACCCGTGGTGGACGAGAGATCGAAAGCCACGCCGGCGTTCCGCAGCTCATTCGTCAGCTTCTCGAACTGATGCTTGTCCGGCTCGTTGTGGCATCGCAGCACAGCTGTGAGTGGGAATTTCTCGTGAATCCACCTCGCCACGGTCATGTTGGCCAGCAACATGAACTCCTCAATCAGCTGATTGCTCTCCCTGATCACCTCCCGGTGATACTTCACGGGATCGCCTGTCTTCGCATCCAGCGTGAAGCCAATCTTCGGCTGATCCATCTTCACCGCGCCGTCGGCGAATCTCTTCTCCCTCAACCTCCTCGACAGCTGGTAGAGATTCTGCACACTCTCCAGCACATCTTCCAGCTTGAAGTGCTCGTTTTCCACAGCGGGAAACATGTCCGGCGCCAGCTTCTCCCTCGGACCGTCAATGACGAGCTGCGCGTGATCGTAGGCGAGTTGAGTGCAGGAATTGATGATGGACTTCGTGATGCGCTCATCCAGAATCTTCCCGGACGAGTCCATGCGCCAGAACACTGAGAAGGCCAGACGATCCTTGCCCGGCAGGAGGGAACAGTTGAGACACATCGGCAGCGGCAGCATGTGATAGACGGTGTTGACCAGATAAATGCTAGTCGTCTTCTTCCTCAAAATCATGTCCAGCGGAGAGTTTTCTGGGATGTAATGCGCCACATCGGCAATATGGACCCCAACCTGGAAGGAAGAGCAGGGATTGTGTGTGATTACCCAAGTGAGAGTGGGAAAAAGAGCTTTGGAAATCCTACCTCAAAAGTGTTGTCGTCAATCCGCACGCAAGACATCGCGTCGTCCAAATCCCTGGCCGTTGGCGGATCGATCGTGAAAATGCACGTGCTGGAGCGCAAATCCTCACGCCCCTGGAAGTCGCTCGGCTGCACGTCGAAGCGCGGCAGCTCGGCGAGAATGGCCTCCGGATAAGGCTCTGGATTGAGATCGTTGGCGAGCAGAATGGCGCGATTCTCGCTCTCTAACTCACCAATTTGGCCAACAACCTTCAGAAGCTGCCCGCAGACTTCCGAAGACCGGCTGTGCGTGATGCGCGCGAGGAAGATGAGCTTCTTCATCATCTTGCCGTTGGCCGCCAGGCCTCGAATGACACCATCGTTGGTGATCTTGACGCGCGGAAGACGATTGTCGCGCGGCGTGAGGAGCTTCGTGACCAACGAAGGACGATCAAATGTGCCGACAATCAGGCGATTGTGACGCTTCTCCAGAATCTCAATGACAACGCCGACTTCGCGCTCCTCAATGATTGGCGCCTCTTCGGCTCTCGCCGCCGAGTCCGTGGACTTCTTGTCCTCGTCGTCGTCATCGGTGGCTTCGTCGAGATCATTGTCGCCCAGAGTTGCGTCCGCTTTGCTGTCCTGCTTCTCCACTTTCATCTTGAAGACCAGCGCGAGAACCTGGTCGCCAGGAAAAGCGTGACGCCGCAGGGCATACTGCCGGAAGATGATATCTCTCCCTCCGCTGGGATTCGCCATGTAAGCGTTGTGGTAGTTCACAGCGCTCACGCGAATCTCTCCATCTGCCATCACAGCGCGCTTCTCCGCCACCAGCTTCTCGGCGAAAGCCTTCAGCACCCCGCTGACCTCATCCTCAGAGCCTTCAGGCTTCCTCTCGAGGAGCTTCACGTAAGCCTCCTCGATTTCCGACAGCTCAATGGCGGGTTTCCTGGCTTTCTTCTCCTTCTTCTCGCTTTGCTGAGAACTTTGCTGAGGACTCATGTCCGGCTGTTGCTGGACACTTTTGTTGACCCTCCGACTGAAATTCTCTCGGATTTTGTGCAGATTCACCCCCACGTCTAGCAATTGGAAGTTGTTCAAGAATCTATAAATCAAAGGATTAATCCTCAGTGTCATGTTACTTCCTTCTCCAGTCATCGAAAGAAGATTCCTCTCCAGAGCCAAGCGCATAAGATACTTCTCTCGCTCATCGGGATCCATTGACAGTAGCTGCAAGATAGTTATGTTTTCCTCCTTCAGAGGAGTCTGAGCATGGGACCCATGATTCCTGACATTCCTGGAATTGCTTTCCAGCGGTGCTACATTGTCCGGGAGTGAAATTTCCGAAATATCAGCATAACGTTTCGGTTTTGCCTTGGGCTTCACGCGATTCCTCTTCTTTTTCTCTTTAGGCGCCTTACCCGCTGCCTCTCCGTCTATCTGGGCACCACCTGACGTCTGGTCAGAGATTGCATGCCTCTCGAAATCCCTCTGCAGGCTCTCCAACGTGGCAAGGACATTAGCAATGTTTCCTTCTTGATGTGCATTTTGACACTCAACCGCCGGATTCCCACGTGAAGGTCGACTTTCTGCACTGTCCATAATTCCAAGTGTCTAGTGGAGGTATTATGAGTCCTTTAAGAGTCCCTTTTGAGGGTGTGTCATGCATTTTCCTCACCTTTTCTTTGTGAACACACCAGCTTTTCCACCATTAATGCCTCTCTCCGAAAGTTCTCCGAAAACACTTTGACACGTGTCAAGTGGGTTTGTTTTGGTCTTGCAAACGGCGCGCCAAATTACTTTTCTCGTGCTTTTCAATGAGTTTCTGTACAAGAAATTAAGTGGTCTTGCGAGTGAAGTGTCCGGGAAGCATCTGATAATCATGCCTATTTGATATTCTTTAGTTTTTGCAATAAAGTGAGTTAATCTGAGGGTTGTGTATGAGCTGTGATGATATAACCTCAATCTGTGTGTGTTTTCTCGCAGGAAAATGAATGGAATTAAGCAATACTTCTCATCTCTGCCCAAGACGGGAGAGAATTCCTCGGCTGAGGATAAGGAAGCGTCTCAGGCACGTCCGGATGGCAAGGTTATTGTCAGTAACATGGAATCTGTGATGAAGTCTGTCCGGAAGAAGAGGTCCAAGAAGAAGCGCTTGTCTCCCGATGGGGACATTACAGACATTTCCAACATCCTCAGTTGCAGTCTCAATCTCATCTCACCCAAGAAGGCATCTAAAAAAGGTAAAATTTTGCTGATAATAGCATAGAATTCATACGTTAATGACACTTTGCTTGCAGATGCGTGCAATGGAAAGTTTCAGGAGGTTTCAGTGCCCGCAGAGAGTGAAGATCAGGAGAATTTGATAGATGTCTGCAATGGGGATCAGAAGAAGAACGTGTTTGAAGTGATGATGCAGGCCAGGGAGCGGAATAGCATCGGATTGACTCCAAATTCGACTCCTCAGGAGAGGAAAAGACGTCTTCCTGAGGAATTCACCCAAGAAGACACTGGCAAGAAGTCAAAAAAGGCAAAGAAGACTCCTGACACGACTGAAGACAATCCCAAGCAGGAGGAGAGTCGCAAGAAGTTAGCAAAGCCCAGCAGGAAGAAGAAGCTTTTTGAACTGGAAGTTGAAGCCGTAGACTTTCCCAGAAAAGACCCAGAAAGTCAAGACAATGCTTCACTGCTAACAAAGCCTGATGAAGCCAAGAGGACGCCCCGAAGAAGGGGAAGGCCACTTAAAGCAGAGAAAATAGTGCTAGAAGAGACAGTTGTAGTGATTCCTGAAGAGACCAAAGCCAAAGAAGCTTCAGAACAAGGAGAAAATCGTCCTTTGCGGTCAAAGAAACTGCCCAAGAAGGTGGAAATCGATGAGATTGTTATAAGTGACACAGATTCACCTCAGCGTCGTCCTCAGCGTAGCTGTCGTCAGAAAGTTCTGACTTACAGCATCGATTTGATCCTGGAAGAGGAGTTGAATAGCTCCAGAAGCCCAGAGAAGCCTAAAAGTGTTAGAAAAAGTGCTAAGGAGAAGAATTCAGAAGTGATCATAATCGATTGTGACTATTCTCCGAAGAAATCCGTGAAGTTGGCGCCGATTTTTGTGAAGCCACAGAAGATAGAAATCGATCCAAAGGTGCTGAAGGCGAAACAAGAGTTCCTGATGTCTGGCATTCCTGAGGTTATGAAGTTGTCCATTGAGAAGCAGAAGGCTCTTGAGGAGGAGTTTGAATTGAGGCAGTTTCCCGAAGTCTCTCATGTCACTCAGATCGAAGGCGATGCTCTGATGGAGAAGATTTCGTGGAGAGAAGATGAAATCAGAGTGAGAATCAGCGATTATTCTGAAGAGGATGACATAATGCCAATTATTTGGACAGATAAACGCAAAATTGATTTGATTGACAAACCTTCTAACATGGAAAGACCCAGAAATGGTCTTCCAGGAACAGGTTTACTTACAAATGCCCAGAAGTCATCAATCTTCAAGCAGCTTCTGAAGAATTTTGATAAATTTCCAACGAAGAAAGCCTTCAGCTTCTTCAAAAAGCGATCGGAAGTTGGCTGTGACGACGATTTTTCTGAGAATGTTTTGTTCACGGAAAGGTATCGTCCAGAGAGAAGTGAGGAGTTTCTGATAAGCAACTCTGCCGTGGAAGAGCTGAAGAGCTTCCTGGTGTCCTTTCAGAGCGACACGTCGCGCTTCAACAGTACATTCGAGAGCGATCTCGAGGACTCGTGCAGCAATTACGGCAATTCCTGCTGCATCGTCCTCTCAGGTCCTTGCGGCAGTGGCAAGAGTGCCTCCGTGGCGGCCGTGGCGGCGCAGCTGAACTTCAACGTCCTGGAAATCAATGCTGGAATGCGGAGGACTGGAAAGCGTCTGCTGCAGGACCTCCAGGAAGCCACACAATCGCACAAAGTGGCAAGGTCATCCGAGGACGAGACATCGCAGAAGTTTTCTCTGATCCTGGTCGAAGATGCAGAGATCACCTTCGAGCAGGACGATGGATTTGTCAGTGCCATTCATCAGATCGTGGCGGATTCCAAGCGACCCGTGATCTTGACAACTTCTGAGCCCAATTGCTCCCATTTGGCGCGCTTCATGGCCATGAACACTATCAATTTCGCCCCGCCGGAGCCGGAATTGATCTCCAAGTGGTTCACACTTATGGCTCTGGCGGAAGGCGTGCATCTGCAGGAAGATGACGTCAACACTCTGTACAAATACAATGGCCAAGACGTGAGGAAGACCAGCAATGATCTGGAGTTCCTTGTGCGATCGGGCGGAGGAGATTTTCTCAACGAAGGCATTTCATCAGCAGCACTCACGATGGCGTCGTTTGACACGCTCTGGAGCAACGCGGATCAGTGGCTGAAGACTGGCGCAGCACAAGGAGAGAAAATTGAGGATTTTTCAGAGTTCTACGACTTTATCTGCTCAAGTGAAGTGTTGAACGACCGACTGGAGAATGAAGAGCTTTCACAATGTTTGTTAGCCAAAACTCTCCGAATGAGAGAGATAAGCGATAAGCATTACGATCACTTCAGAAAACCCAGAGAAATCACAAGGTAAGTTGTGATGCTTGTTGTTCAATGCTCCGAAAAGAGATAAGTTAATCAGTCAAGAGAAACTTGATAATTGATAAAAGAAACTTGGTTTTTAGAACATGCTTGAGTTCAACAATCTGTGAAAAAACAGCGCAATTTCTGGATTACGAGCCCATTTTGAGGACGATTTGCAGGAACGAGCGAGACAAAGCGTCCAAAGAGCGGAGATCCTCGAGATTCTCTCATTACTTGCGTCAAGTTGTTAACAATCCTTCGAATGAATTATTTATCGAACACTGTAAGATTTTCTCCTGAAAGGTTTTGCTAAAATATATATCGGTTTTTTGAATGTAAATTGGTGTCTTGATGAAATGCCCTAATGTCAACTGCTTTTATCAATCGAATAATTTTACGGAAGTATTTCATCAGAAAATTCAATATCGATTGTAATTCTAAGAAAATTTGATCTGTCGTAAAACTGTGCCCATTTACGTTTATCATTATTATTTATGGTACAAAAATGTTATTCTGTATCATACAATTTCGTAGAATTTTATGTAGTCTATGTTCTATTGATTCTGTTTTATATATGTAGCTTCAACCGCTCTAACCGCGCAATATTGGGGATTTTGCAATACATGCATAAATTACCCTCTCATGAACCTAATTTATTTACATAAGATAACGCTAAATATATCTAAATTACGCATACATCCAGGTGCAAATGAAGCTAGATAGCACACAAGCCACTATGAATTGGTTTTGAGCGAAATCAGAGGAATAGAGAAAATCAAAAATACCAATGAATGTCTTCAGAATTATTATCTCTGATTATAGAATAGTGCTAATTGTCACGTATTGAAACCAATCAATATCTTAAATCACAGTGCTTCATTTCCCAATTCGTGCTGAAAGTAACGTTTGCTGATTTTCACTTAAATCGATTGTTTCTTCTCCTCTATTAGTTTATATAAAAAAATGTGGCTTGTGACAAAGCTTCACTTCTGGAAATTTTGTGAATCAAGACAATCATAAGGAAAATGACTCAAAAATACACCCGTGAAGAAATTTCCCAGCAAAACGGAAGGGATGGGAAAGACTGTTGGCTGATCATAAAGAACTCAGTGTACAATGTGACGAATTATCTTCAGGATGTTGGTGTTTTATTCCTCGGAAGTAAAGGAGAACATTTAATGATTGATCTCGATTTTAGCATCCGGGCGGCGATGATCTCATCTTGGAGTGGGCTGGAAAGGATGGAACGAAGGCGTTTAACGACTTTGGCCATTCAACGGACGCTTTGAGAGATCTGAAGATGCTGAAAATAGGAGAAGTGGTAGACGAGAAGATCCTAGTTAAGCAATCCAAGAACGCCGCAGAAAATATTAGACCTGAAATGATGAAAAAGAAGTCTTCTCGTGAATGCTGCTTTATTTGTTAGTATAAATTAATAAATGTCTTTTTGTTTGAACTTCTTCATCGTAACCATCATAAATTAAAGATCTTATCTCACAGAAAATAAATGAAGAAATTTGATAACTGAATTCTCGAGGTGTCCCTGAAATTCCCAGTTCCACATAAGCAAGCATTTGGGGTAACGAAAAAGATAATGTGTGATATGTAAATAAGATAATTTTCCGATAAGATAAAAAAAAATACAATATTTATAGATTTGGTTTTGCTGAACAAAATTAGTACGTTCGGAGAGTGTCGCGACGCAAAGTCTGTGTTCATCTTTTTCACCATGAATGCATCATCACTAACATTTGTTGGCGTGAGCTTATTACTTATTAATGTGTAAGTTCAAAGATAACATATTGCGAAATCGAAAAGTGAAACAAAAGTATTTGCTTTTTGATGATTCTTGGACAGTTGAACACCCATTGGGCCTAGACTAAAACCCCGTATAGGAACATTTATAATTGGTTCGAGTTGCGGAGGAAATAATTTCTTTGTTTTTTTTTAGATTTTTCGCAAAGACAGGCCAAAATCTCCCAAAGTCCTCATCCGATTACCAAAAGTGGCACTGATTTGGAAAGGTAGTTTCATTGGCTACAACTCCCTGGAACATTTCAAGATTGCCAAAAATACTCTAATTACTGCCCGAAAGTGCAGTTTTCCGCGGCACGAACTTTTGTTTTTTTGTTCAGCCAGACTGAGCAGAATTGGCGGGAAAATCGCAGAAAGCGCGCGCGGCTGTAATATTTCTTAGTCTATGTTGAGGCGGATTGAAAAAGGGAAAAAGGGAAAAAAGGCCAATATCTCGATTCGGGGGTCTCGGAGAGAAAGGTGGTGTATGGCGGAAATGTTCGCCATGAAATTCTCTACAACTTCAAGCATAGCGTGAATTTATGCCACTCGCGGGGTATTTTATGTGATTTTTTAAACACCCGAAAAAAGACACTTTTTTGTGCATCTCTGGGAGTTGTGGTTATTTTGACCCTCAGGAGTATTTTTGGCGATCTTGACATGTTCCAGGGAGTTGTAGCCAATGAAACTACCTTTCCAAATCAGTGCCACTTTTGGCAATCGGATGAGGACTTTGGGAGATTTTGGCCTTTTTTTGCGAAGAATCTCAAAGTAACAAAAAAAATAATTCCTCCACAACTCGAACCAATTATAAATGTTCTTATATGGGGTTTTACTCGGTGCCCAATGGGTGTTCAACTGTCCAAGAATCATCCAAAAGCAAATACCATTGTTGGACTGTGTAAAGGATGAATGATGATTTATGTGATAATTCGCGATTTTTGTGATTCCCTGTGCAATTGCTGATCTCCTTCCTCCCAAAGTGACGTTCGATGTTTTTTCGTCCCTACAAGGAACAACTGTTCCCCCTTTTTTATGTGGCTGAGGACAAGTTCCTCACCACCATTGTTGAACTGTGAATTGAAAGTGAATCATCTTATTTTTTTCAGATTAATCCTCCACGCTGAGCCCATAAGACATAATTCTACATACAAAATCGAGGAGTATGTTTTGGATTTATCAAAAAAAAATTTAACTACTATTGACAAAGACATTCTGAAACGCGCTGAATCAGAAGTGCATAAATTAATCTTGGATGAAAATGAAAGCTTCAATGTGCCCGATAGTAGTGTTTTGATTCAGGATGAAAATCTGCAAACCTTTCAATGCATAAAGTGTAATATTTCTCGGATCTTCGCGGAGACTTTCTCCAAATTGCCGGGCTTGAGAAAAATTGTTATCCGAGAGAATCCTTTAAACGCTATCCATCCAAATGCCTTCAGAGAGAATAAATACCTTCAAGAATTGGATCTTAGGGAAAACCAATTGAAGTCTTTCAATAGCATGGGCATTTTGATGGACTTGAAAGATCTTAACATCATTCTCTTGAGCCACAATCAATTCAATCTGACCGTAAAGTATCCTATATTGCAACGGCCCTACATGGGCAAGTTTGAGTGCGAAAGCTGCAATATCACAAAGATTTCCCCTGAAGCTTTCTCGGGGGTCATGCCTTTAAAAGAACTTCACTTGCGCGATAACAAATTAACGCACTTTAATCTGACATTGTTAGGACTTCGGACTTTGGATTTGTCCCAGAATCCTCATCTTGATTTATCAGGTATGTATCAAATTATACGCAATACCACTTATTGTATGCTGATAAACTTATCTGGGAAAGTGGTATTGAGTGCACAAAGATATTTATCGCTGTCGATGGCATATGAAGGATATTTACATTGTAAATATTATACATTTATTAACAGGCAATTCATTGAATTTTCCCGACTTGGAGCACTTTAAATGCAACGACTGTTCAACGAAAATCATCGACGATAAACTCTTCGCCAACTGCACAGATCTCTTGTCTCTGGAGATGCGCAACAATGGACTGCACAAAATCAGTCATAATGCATTTAGTGGTACAAAATTTCTGAAGAGACTGATGATTGAGAACAACTTCTTGAGGCACATTCCGGGAAAAGTCATTATGATGGATAATCTCCAAGATTTGTGCCTTGACTACAATCCAATTGAGATGACAGAGGAGAATCGAAAAGGCATGATGTTCTACTTTATGGGGAAACTCGGTGACAAATGCACTGTTGATCAAAATTCAGCTTATTCTGAGAAGCTAATGCATCAGATTCCCATGGATGGAAGAATTCTTCTCGTTCGCACAAAAGACTACAAAGATTCAATCCTTACACTGCGTGAAAATAATATAACGTTCATATTTCCGCATCACTTCCAGTCACATCTCGACAATTTCACCGCTCTTGTGATGGACGGAAATCGAGAATTCAACTTTCGACGCGAGATACCATTCACATTCTACGAAAAACTGGAAAAGTTTCAGTGCAATGGATGCGGCATCGACAAGATTTACGGGGAAACTTTCAACCATACGCCACATTTGAGGGAATTGGAGTTGAGAAACAATAAAATCACGCATTTCTCACTGGCAGTTTTCCATCACAACATTCCACTGCAGAGCCTCATTCTGGATGACAATCCCATAGAACTGCTCTATGGGAAAGTCTCAATGCATTTTGAGGATATTGAAGTGCTTCTGGTTGGAGAACCTGCTGCTAAACGTCTCCAAGTTCTTCCTCCAGACGAGGACGAAAGTCTTCTGCATCTAGAGAGATTTTCATGCATAAATTGTGGAATGACAAAAATAATGGAGGATACTTTTGAATTCTGCCCCAGAATTCATGTGATTGACTTAAGTGGACACAATTTGAAAACTCTCAGTGATGTTCTTAAACCAAATTCATATTTAATAGATGTGAATTTGTTGGGGAGCTTGCAAGAATTTCCTGTGCAATTGGTGAATTCGTCCCTGAATTTGAAAGCCCTTTGCATAGATTATAAGATTCTAAACACCACGGAAATTGCAATGAAAGATGAACTTGCAGTTAATGAATTCATCAATAAGCTGGAAGTCTTACAATGTTCTAACAACCCAACAATATGTGCAGCGAAAGTAAAGGTTGTTCAGACGATAAAGCATGAATTCCATGCAAGACAAGCAATGGAAGCAGCAACTGAAACAAGTACAACGAGTACAACATTTACAACTGAAGCAGTGACTACAGAACCACCAACAGAAAGCACAACAATGGAGAATTTAACAGACTATTCAAATGAAGACACTGAGTCAAATTATCCCTATGATTATCAAATCCAAAATGACAATTTTGTTGAAATTAAGGGTGAAAAATTGACAAATATCAATGCAAGTGCTCAGGAAGGAAGCGATGAAGATGATGTTAAGATCAGTCACATTGATCAGGCTTCGATTTCCAAATGGTGGGAATACGAAAATATCAATAAATCTAGTGCGCAAACAAATGTTTATTTCCATATAAATATGGGAATCTACATATTGAGCTTTATATGGACTTTTGGATTTCAGGACTTAATGCGATTAAGACTAGGATTTAGACGGTTTAGGTATAGATGATCAATGTTGTGTCTTCAGACAGAGTAATGAATGAAATTGATTTTCAAAAGTACATGACACTTCAGCAACTAAATATATCCATAGCTAAAGAAATCTGTTCAGCTAAGATTGCTGAGAAGATTGCTGAAATTTTACTGAAAAGACATTATGACGATCCCTGCCGTATTTTTGTTAAACGATTTTGTGATATTTTCGGTCTAACAGAGTGACATTTTATGTGAAATCCTATAATTTTTAATTGCCATGTACGGATGATTATAATAAAATTGGTTGCATTTATTTTTCATTCACATTGTCTTTATTCAATGAATTTTATAAATATCACTTGGATTCAGCACTGAACTTGAATAGTCAAACTCCTTTGACTTTGATCTCAGAATCTTGGCGAGGTAGAGACTTACGACTGTGGCCAAAACACCTTCAAGTACCATACAAATCACTAAATACATTGCAATGAGAGCATCCAGCAGTGTTGGATTTACACTTTCTTCCTCAATTATTGCTTGTTCTGTCGTGGAAGTTGTTGAATTCCTTGGTGAAGAATTTTTAACTGACATCTTAGAGATTTCCTCAAGAAAGTCACTTAAATTCCTGCATTGTTTAGTGCTTTTCGGCTTCCAATAGAGTGTTGTGATGTCTTTAGGGTCAGAATCTTGATCAACATAGAACTCCTTCTTGAGCTGCAGCGGTAGATTTTTCACAATATCTAATCCCACGCGAACTTCTAACTGTGACAAGCCCACAAAGGCCCGTTCATCAATACGATGAATAAGGTTGTTCTGCAGTTGAATTTTGCGCAGATTTGGCGTTTCGGAGAAGGTTTTCTCATATATCTCAGTGATATTACATGATATGCACATGAAATTCTCCAAACTTTTGCTAATTAGGAAGGGTTTCGCTTCGGGAAATTTGTAACAACTATTATTGTTGATGTTGAGTGATTTCACAGCCAGATTTTCCAGTAACTTTTCCGGCAATTCCTCCAATTCATTGTCATCGAGTGTTAAATCTGTGAGCTTTGTATTATTGGCGAAAGCTCTCTCTTCAATCCTCTTCATATGATTTCTCGTCAAACTCAAAATTTTCAACTCTGGCATTTCACTGAAAGTTCTCTCGCCGATTTTTGTAATATTGCAAAAATTGCAACTGAATTCAAGTAGAGTTTGACTAAACAGAATCGGACCATTTTCATCCTTTGGTTGAAATTTTGTGTTATTATCGAATCTTACTTTAACAAGTGTAGGAAATTCAGTAAAAATTTTTGGATCAACGTTTTGAATGAGATTTTTAGAAAAGTCCAAATCCATAGAATCCCTTGAAATGCTCTCCTTTTCAATATAGTTCTGCAAGTCTATGATATTAGTTGCAACATGTTCTCTGCAAGTAAAGAACCAGAACTAGAAAATATTCTCAACCACATTTCACAATACGGAACACAAAAAGAAAGCATTACTCATGGACTAAAATTGGCATTTGTTCATAAACTTACGTGATGAGAGGAGAGAATATTGGCAATTGGCACAGAATGAAAACCAGACTCGCACCTTTCCTCATGTTTTCGCCGACACTGAGAACACACAAAACTCTCTCCCCACCTCAGTTGCTTTTATCGCGGGAGAGATAAGATAAGATACACACGAAATGCGAAAAAGATTCAAGGTGTGATTGGCAAACACACATAGAACGAATTGATAAGCCACATCGTTCAATTTGTCTCCAGAAAGTGCGACGATGCGATATTATTTTCAACGTATTTTTCCCATAAAGTGGATGGGAAACGTGCTAAAGACGGCGTTTCCTGAAGGTGCATCAACCCATTCACGACTCGCGGGTGTTTGTGCTTTTTCTCGTGCAAAATTCTCTGACGGTGTGTATTTCTCAAAAAACCCCCCACCGGATGGATGAATGTGTGAAATTATTAAATTGCATATATCAATATTAGTTTCTGCGAAAAATAATTTTAGCAATTTATCTATAGTGCCAGACTAATGGAAATTCTCAGTGAAATATGAGGGCGATTTATCTCTTTATTGATTTTTTTTTCAAGTGTTATTGTTTCACCAATATATTTTTACTCTTATTTTGCATAAACATCGCGGTTTTCTTTCTATCGTCTCTTGAATTGATATGAAACATTTTCACCCAATTTCACACACACTGAGGGGCGTTTTGGGGAAAAAAAGCATATTCCTCTGTTGTTTATTATAGAAGAAAAATAATAAAGAAACTTAGGAACTCACAAATTGAAGTTCAGCTCACTTTAAATTAACAATATTTTTTAAACACTCATCACACTAACTTCGCTGGAAAAGACCAATGAGTTCCACTCTATCACAATATTTCGGAGATTTTATTTCTCCTTGGGGTTTGTGGGGTAAAAGCTGGTCAGTTTCTGTGAATCACTCTCATTCACTGCCACAAATTCCTCACTCCACATCCTCCCATCAACTCCATTACACCGTTGAATATTATTTTGGGCCAAAAAATTCACTAAATTCGCTGGTTTCTCGGTGATGCACGCTCAAGAACACAAGATGTACTAAGTAGAAAAATGATTTGTCTAATTCGAAGAGATTGTGAGCAGTAAGAGACCGATAAGAGATTATCAGTAGAGTAGAAATTTCTTCCTTTTCTTGGAATTGAATATCAATATTTATGATCACTCTCAAAATCACTCTGATAAAATTGTGTGATTATTTACTGAAATGACACTTAGAGCTCTGATTAAGTCTGTAATGGTCATTTATTGAGGCGCACGATTTAAAATTTGAAATCCTACCCAGTAAAAACAGCCACGATGGAAAACCGCGGGATTCCCACCGGTCGGTCCCTTGTTCCCCAGTGGATTTTTGAAGGAAACCCCCCTCGGGATTCCCTCAGATTTTTATACACAAATTTGTATGGAGCCTGTCCGCGGATATCCACTGGTTTTTCAATGGGGACTCCTGGAGGGAAGTCAATGGTTTTTCCACACCTCTTAAGCCCGTAAAAGAAACCTCTTAGGCCTCTTTTCAATGGTTTTTCAGTGGATTTTTTCGCGGGGATCCCGCAGGAGGCTCCATTGAAAATCCTTCAGGGATGAACAGGACCCAAAACGATGGATTTTCAGTGGACTTTCCTGCAGGAATCCCTCAGGAGGGGTCCATTGAAAATCCTTCAAGGATAAAAAGGGCCCAAAACGATGGATTTTCAATGGACCCCTACTGAGGGATTCCTGCAGGAAAGTCCACTGAAAATCCATCATAAAGTGAACCTGTAGTTAGAATATGGCGCGCTTCGGACCAATTTTTCGAGGTGGCGCTGTGATTCACAAAATGTACATGGTGATGTCACACAGGGGAATTTCACAACACTATAAATGGGACTTGGAATTTCACCAAGACATTTTTAAGCACGCAAATAAGTCTTTTTACACGCTTATTATAATAAAGAACTTGGTGCAAGGATGCTTCCACGGTACAGGATGAATAAAAAGGGGGAAAAAGTAGTTTCCGCACCGGAAATACGCAGATTTTTGGAAAAGTTGTTGGAAAATATTTTTCACAACATTTTTTTCTATTGCCGAAATTTTCATTGCTTGTCAAGGATATCAATATAAAATCATCGAAAAACTGTAAATATGCGTTCCCCAGAGCCTTATTCCCTCAATATTAAGGATAAAATGTGTGATTTTTTCCCACCCACTTTTGACAGCTGCCATCTTGAAAGACAATCTCCGAAATATAGGCAGTTCAGTAATTGCGGAGTGCCCTGCGGGATTCCCGCGATGATCCCCAATGCAAAATCCCTCATCTCAAACAGTGGGCAAACAGTGGACTTGCCCTGCGGGATTCCTGCAAGAATCCCTAAGGCCAAATCCTTCATCCCAAAAGGCTGGGCAAACAGTGAACTTGCCCATCAAAAATCCAGTGGTTATCCACTGGTTTGCCCATCAAAAATCCAGTGGATTTTTGATGTGCGCAAACCCTCATCTCAAACAGTGGGCAAACAGTGGACTTGCCCTGCAGGATTCCCGCAAGAATCCCTAAGGCCAAATCCTTCATCCTTAAGGCCGGGCAAACAGTGGACTTACCCATCAAAAATCCAGCGGATATCCACTGGTTTGCCCATCAAAAATCCAGTGGATTTTTGATGTGCGCAAACCCTCATCTCAAACAGTGGGCAAACAGTGGATTCGCCCATCAAAAATCCAGTGAGAATCCCTGTGCCCAAACCCTCATCTCAAACAGTGGGCAAACAGTGGACTTGCCCTGCAGGATTCCCGCAAGAATCCCTAAGGCCAAATCCTTCATCCTTAAGGCCGGGCAAACAGTGGACTTACCCATCAAAAATCCAGCGGATATCCACTGGTTTGCCCATCAAAAATCCAGTGGATTTTTGATGTGCGCAAACCCTCATCTCAAACAGTGGGCAAACAGTGGATTCGCCCATCAAAAATCCAGTGGATATTCACTGTGCACAAACCCTCATCTCAAACAGTGGGCAAACAGTGGACTTGCCCTGCAGGATTCCCGCAAGAATCCCTAAGGCCAAATCCTTCATCCTTAAGGCCGGGCAAACAGTGGACTTGCCCATCAAAAATCCAGTGGTTATCCACTGGTTTGCCCATCAAAAATCCAGTGGATTTTTGATGTGCGCAAACCCTCATCTTAAACAGTGGGCAAACAGTGGACTTGCCCTGCGGGATTCCCGCAAGAATCCCTAAGGCCAAATCCTTCATCCCAAAAGGCTGGGCAAACAGTGGACTTGCCCTGCGGGATTCCCGCAAGGATTCCTAAGGCCAAATCCTTCATCCCAAAAGGCTGGGCAAACAGTGGACTTGCCCTGCGGGATTCCCGCGAGGATCCCTAAGGCCAAATCCTTCATCCCAAAAGGCTGGGCAAACAGTGGACTTGCCCTGCGGGATTCCCGCAAGGATTCCTAAGGCCAAATCCTTCATCCCAAAAGGCTGGGCAAACAGTGGACTTGCCCTGCGGGATTCCCGCGAGGATCCCTAAGGCCAAATCCTTCATCCCAAAAGGCTGGGCAAACAGTGGATTTTTGACGGGCAAACCAGTGGATATCCGCTGGATTTTTGATGGGTAAGTCCACTGTTTGCCCGGCCTTAAGGATGAAGGATTTGGCCTTAGGGATTCTTGCGGGAATCCTGCAGGGCAAGTCCACTGTTTGCCCACTGTTTGAGATGAGGGTTTGTGCACAGTGAATATCCACTGGATTTTTGATGGGCGAATCCACTGTTTGCCCACTGTTTGAGATGAGGGTTTGCGCACATCAAAAATCCACTGGATTTTTGATGGGCAAACCAGTGGATAACCACTGGATTTTTGATGGGTAAGTCCACTGTTTGCCCGGCCTTAAGGATGAAGGATTTGGCCTTAGGGATTCTTGCGGGAATCCTGCAGGGCAAGTCCACTGTTTGCCCACTGTTTGAGATGAGGGTTTGTGCACAGTGAATATCCACTGGATTTTTGATGGGCGAATCCACTGTTTGCCCACTGTTTGAGATGAGGGTTTGCGCACATCAAAAATCCACTGGATTTTTGATGGGCAAACCAGTGGATAACCACTGGATTTTTGATGGGCAAGTCCACTGTTTGCCCAGCCTTAAGGATGAAGGATTTGGCCTTAGGGATTCTTGCGGGAATCCTGCAGGGCAAGTCCACTGTTTGCCCACTGTTTGAGATGAGGGTTTGTGCACAGTGAATATCCACTGGATTTTTGATGGGCGAATCCACTGTTTGCCCACTGTTTGAGATGAGGGTTTGCGCACATCAAAAATCCACTGGATTTTTGATGGGCAAACCAGTGGATAACCACTGGATTTTTGATGGGCAAGTCCACTGTTTGCCCAGCCTTAAGGATGAAGGATTTGGCCTTAGGGATTCTTGCGGGAATCTGCAGGGCAAGTCCACTGTTTGCCCACTGTTTGAGATGAGGTTTGTGCACAGTGAATATCCACTGGATTTTTGATGGGCGAATCCACTGTTTGCCCACTGTTTGAGATGAGGTTGCGCACATCAAAAATCCACTGGATTTTTGATGGGCAAACCAGTGGATAACCACTGGATTTTTGATGGGCAAGTCCACTGTTTGCCAGCCTTAAGGATGAAGGATTTGGCCTTAGGGATTCTTGCGGGAATCCTGCAGGGCAAGTCCACTGTTTGCCCACTGTTTGAGATGAGGGTTTGTGCACAGTGAATATCCACTGGATTTTTGATGGGCGAATCCACTGTTTGCCCACTGTTTGAGATGAGGGTTTGCGCACATCAAAAATCCACTGGATTTTTGATGGGCAAACCAGTGGATAACCACTGGATTTTTGATGGGCAAGTCCACTGTTTGCCCAGCCTTAAGGATGAAGGATTTGGCCTTAGGGATCCTCGCGGGAATCCCGCAGGGCAAGTCCACTGTTTGCTCAGCCTTAAGGATGAAGGATTTGGCCTTAGGGATCCTCGCGGGAATCCCGCAGGGCAAGTCCACTGTTTGCCCGGCCTATGAAGATGAAGGATTTGGCCTTAGGTATTCCCGCAAGAATCCTGTGGTGCATCCGTTATGCTCCATGGCATAGTATGGAAAAACGATGGATAATCGATGGACAGCGGATTGTGTTTTTACTGGGTAGGCAATCTCTAATCAAAACTCTGATGCTTGAAAATTGTATCTTATCATCACAGGAAGCAAGAGACGCAGATGTGCTTGACGGGAGCGGCGGATATGTAGTAAACCGGATTGCCAAAAGATGCTACAGTGAAAGGAATCGCATCGTCTTTATATGAAAATATGTCTGAGTGTACAAAAGACGGCCGGGATGAGAATGCCCAGGTTGGAGTGATGAGATCGGAAGCTGAGTGCACTCCGTCTTGAGCTCATTTCCTCTCGATGAACGTGCGAATTAGCATTGTGTAGGGGTTCTCGAAGAGCAGCATGAACAGCAGTGCTGCAGCATAAACAGTGCTCACCACTCCCATCACGAGAATCACCTGGAAGATGGGCGGAAAAGTGGGTGGTGCGATTCTGGAGATGAAGAAGAAGAAGGAAAATCCATTTGCAGATATACGAACCAATTGAGCAAAATCCAGCAAGAGTGCCGTCTCTGTCGACAGCATGGTGAAGAGGATGAAAATGGGATTCAGCAGATACGCCGAGTACGACATCCGACTGAATTTCAGCAGGCACTTTGCACCCAGGATCCTCGTCACGATACCTGGACGGGGGAGAGTGCATTGGCGTCTAAATTGGAATGCAGTGGAGGATGAAATCACTTACCGCCGTGTCCTGTGGCGCAGGCGATGATAATCCACGATATGCCCATGGCCCAGGCGGTTTTTCCGAAGCCGCAGTACCACATTGACGCCACGGCGGGCAGGTGGTTCAGCATCCGGCCGAAAATGAGAAGAATTGCGGTGCATGCGGTTAGGAGCCAGCAGCCATGGATGATAGACTGCCGGAGAGGATATAAAGTAAGATTTTCACACTCATCGCTCCAGAAAGGAAGAAATAATCATCAGGCAAAATGTGGGTTATGAACTCCGAAAAATAATGTCATGAATTTTGTATTTGCCAGCTTGCTGACTTTGCCGGGCGCTTTCATGAAAATTTCACATGGAGAGCGCGCAAATGACAAAAGGGGAGGAAAATTATGCCATAAGAGAATTTTTGCCCTCGCTTCGCTGTAGCGGCATGTTAAATTCTAATCAACGGAAGTGAGAGCTTTACCCTTTTGAGGTAGAGCTTTCGGTTGAACGTGCTCAAAAACCATCCGGCGAGGACACCGCAGAAGTAAACAGGAATCCTCGACCACACTGGCGTGTACAGGAAATCGATGCTGTTGAATTCCACGTCGTATCTGCAAATGGCAAAGCACACAGCGTGAGATTATTTCTCTCAATTTTGCGGTGAGCAATTTTTCTATTTGTCACTGCAGTCTCTGTGCCATGGAATTAGTAGTATTTCATAATAATCACTCCAATACAATCGCATATGCATTGTTTTTTTGACTCGCTGCTGTGGCGAACAAATTTAACCATAACTTATCTCAACATTTTGCCTATGATTGTCGTCGTCGTGAACTTTATCTACTCAATCTCTCACGTTGGCGAAGAAGTTTAAGAGTTTCCTTGGGATTTTTGCACACATCTGAACTCTTCACACCAACTTTTTTTTTTGTGTCCATAAGACATGCTCTAACAACACCACAGACTTTATCAACGCCAAAATGTTCTTTAAAGAGATAAACCTGTCCTTTAAAGCCGACATAATGAAGCGTGTGCAAGAGTTTACCTAAAAATCCCTTATTTTTAAATTTAATAACATAATATTATTAATCACTCATTCATGAGGGTAAATTCGTTAACTGTAATTATAGTGCGGTGGATTAAAAAATATTCCATGAGTGCAAACCTGTGGATGTTATTTAGTCAAGGATTATGGTTAACTTTCTGCAATGTGCACTTGAAACTGGTATATCTGGTGTATAATTTACAACATATCAGTGTAATTCTCATGCACAATCGCACTAATTATGTGAAAGGCCCAGCAACACGTTAACAATATTTAAAATAAAACTCTTTGACTGCGAGATGCTGTCAAATGCGAGTCAAATAAGGACTCACTTGAAGTCAAAGTTGAGGACATATCCAAGGTAGGAGTTGAAGAATGTGGCCGTGAGGAAGATGACAATGAACAGTGCCGTGGCTAATCTCTGACTGCGGCTCCAGATGACAAGACAGAGAGTCGTGATGATGAAACATTGTAAATCCACGCTGAGATACCAACTCCACGTGAGACAGATCTCGGAGAATGGGAAGAAGTTGTTAATGAAGAGCACATTGCGCCACCAGTATCTTCACATGGAATTCAATGTCAAAAATCGCGGAATTAATTTGGATATGATTAAGATATGGTGAAGATGTCAGTGTGTTTGTTTTGCTTGTGTGTTAGCTGTAAAATGTGAACAAACTTTGTGCAATTCTCTTCGATGTTCTCCAGCAAGTGAAATTGTGACTTATCCTTCAAGTAAATTCCAATTATGATGGAGAAGAGGAGAATTGTGTAGTACGATGGCGCAATTCTCAGGACACGACTGAAGACACTCTTGCAGAACGCGATGACGCCGTCTTTCTTTGGCTTCTTCATGTAGGACTCAAAGTAAAGGTACGCCAGCAGGAAACCGCTGAAAAAGTTGACAGAATAATTTCTACTCAGATCAATGTTGAGCCGGAAAATTCGGTCAAATATAATGGATGAACACGGCAAATATTTTCCTCCCACATATTCCATAGTCGCACAGCGAATAAAGTGAAAAGCATGAATTTCGTTTGGTGTGCAGATCGTGCAGATTACTAAAATATGCGTTGTATTTGCCCAAAAATGAATAAATAGGAATATTTTATCGAAAATTGCAAATACTCAAAATTCATCGCTTGCATTTCATCACACAGTCAATTCCCATCGTATGAATAGATAGCACAGTCATATGCACAGCACGGGTTCTAAAACACTTGCCCAAAATAGCCGTGTACAATCATATTTTCATTGTGCATAGCGCCAAAGTTTGTGATGAAGCAAGTGAATTGCAAACGATACGATGTTTTATATATTGCTGGATATTTTACGTGCCATTTATTTGGCCCTCATGGAAGTATTCTGCGTAGCTGAATCGACACTGTACAGCGAATAAAGTTTATCTTATACCTGATAACGAAGAACGTGTCCACTCCTGTGGCTGCTGCATTGAACGGCTGCATGAACCATTCCTTCGTGTACGTGAGAACGCGCTGGAAATTCTTGGTGCTCGCCAGTGCATAGAAGAAGATGTGTCCGGTGATGATCCAGAACATTGTGAGTGCTCTGCGATAAATCAGACAATTTGGGCCATTTCTATGTGGGCAATAAATCAATTAGAAAGTCTCCAACCTGAGCCCATGAATCACCGGCACGGAGGATTTCCCAAGTTCGTGGTTGAACACGATGACGGCGTTGTGATGAATTGAGAAGCATGTGATGAATTTCTCAAAGATATTGAGACTCCTTGAGTCCTCCTTGTTAATTTGGCAATCATCCTGGGCTCCTCTGCACATCAACAGGTTGTACAGTGAACAGACAGCACTCAGGCTCACCATAATTGCCAGAAGGACACTTTAAGGTAGCAAAGTGGGATTATTGTCGATTTCTTCTCGCTGTCAAGTGGAAACATACTCACATTGATGAAATTACCAGGGGATTTCGGTAGAATGTATCTCTCAGCTGAAGACTCTTGCTGTGCAGAACAGTGGCATTTTTGCCAAGTATCTCACTTGCCGCAGAATTTACATCGGCCAGCAATTGAGTCACTAGAATTTCCGTGTCATTATTGCTGCAATTTGTCGGCAAACAGAGACCAATGTGCAGGACAGACTGGAAAAATGTGTGACAGAAAGTGGAATAAAATAAATTTATCTTCCGTCACGAGTATTCACTCATTTTTGCATATTGGCCTGATACACTCAGGAAAAGCATGACTTGTGTGCAGGATTTGCAACTCAGATTAGCACTTCAGCTTTAATACTAAATTCTATCACACTATAAGATTGATTTGAATGAATTCTAGTTTGAAAATTGTAACAAAATACGGCCAAAAACTGACTGACTCGAAAGACAGTGCACCATTTTCATAACACATCGAAGCCCTCGAAGCATATACTTTCATTTTTAAGGCCTCTCGTGTGTGAAGTGATTCAAATTTAATCACCCTGAAAAATACGAGTGTAGGCTTTTTTTGCTGCACATTTTCACTATCACTGAGTGTACCGGCGGCAAAAAATGGTGGCGGTGAAAAGGGGATGTGTATCTAGGATAAATAGGAGTGTGGCGAGGCGCAGGAGGGAATCCCTCCAATGGAACGGTGGAGCTTAATACCAGATCCAGTATTTTCATGTCGAGCTGAAGGCGGGAAGAGTGTCGCACGTAAATGACGCGATATATCACAGGAATTGGTGCCGCAATGTCTGTCAAGTGGGGCACGTTGTTGCGCGAAAATCTGGCGGACAGGGAGACGGGATAGGGGCGGGCGAGGCGGGCGCACGAGGACTTTGAGCCGAGCCAGAAGTTGTTGCCCCACACAAATCCCGACTCGATGCGCCCCGACGCATCCAACACTGCGGAGAATGCAAAACATTTCAATTTCGGGATTAGGCGCGCACACACACACGTGCTCTAATCTTGCATCTGCGATGCATATCATTACATTTCATTGCCCAAATGTCCTGCGCCCTCAGGGCGTCCTCCACAATCTGCAGATCACCTTGGCACCACTCTGACGCCGCCGTGCTGCTGTAATTTACCGCCAGGATGCCTTCCAGGAGGCTCGACGTGGGATGGGCGCGCACGAGGGCGAGAGTCGCCAGCACGAGAAACACTTTCATTTCGGCCAGCATTACACTTGGACACGCGTTGAATCACAGCAAAAGGAAGTGAAATACACAGACACAAACTATCAATTAAACGAGACAATTCGATGTCTCCGAGGGCGATTGTCCACTCTGTCACTTATCATCACTGGAGCAGCACAATTGCGTGGCCATTGTTCACTCACTGGCCGAGGAAGTTCACCAAGAAACACAACTTCTTGCACAGCGCACTGAAAGTTCTCACACTCCGTCTCGTGGCCGAGAGCCAATAAATTTAAATCTTGCAGGACACTCGATGGCCAACACTCAAGACAAATCCCAACCACTGTCTTCACTGTCTCGCTGGTGAATGAATGATTGGCGATTTTGGAAATCAAGACTGATGATGGTGTTGTATAGTTTTCCCACCACTCTTCGGACTTCGCTGCTCCACACACACCGCGTCCATTTTTTATTCTCATCCAAATTTATGCAACTCCCCATCATATCGTGGTCAAAGACAAATTTCATTATGCATTAAGACCAAAGTTAATGCTTTCGCGTCTTGTGCAATTTTTCCCGTCGTTTGTTTTGAGAACGCACACCGCGTGTCTTGCAGATTCCTGTTGTGCTTCTTCGCACTTTAAGCGGCGAACGGAAGCTCATTGAAGTGGTGGATGAATTTCATGAAAGTTTCCTTAATAAAGACTGTGGGAATTGGAGGAGCAAAAAGAGATGGAAAAACTTGTACTCGGTTTCATGAAAATGGGTATATTTTTCGCAATAACAAAAATTCTCATGAATAATGACAACAGATAAAGTGATACATTTTTAATGACAAGAAAGGAAATACCTTTGCAAAAACCTATTATAATTCTTACGACATTTTCACTATGGAAAATCATCTTAGAATCACATCCTTTTAATAATTGGTGTAATTCTTTATTAATGATGTGTCGCAACGGAATATTTTGTTGGATATTTTATTAATTGAATCTGTTGAGTGATTATACGAAAATACTTCGATTTCTGAAAGTCACTGACACTGAATTGCGATGATATTGAGTGATATTGAGCAAGTTGCTGGGAATTAAATAATAATTGACAAATTATGGAGCGCAATCAAGTGATTTGTTATTGGAGTTGAGATAAAATGACAGATTATCCTGTTTCAATGATAACACTATGCAGTGTGATTTAGTGACGAGGAAGAGGAGTCTCTGGCATTGGTGGTGAGTGAACTTGGAGAAAATTTGACCCAATGTGACCCAACAAACACGGGAAGTTCTTCATGGTAAATTGGAACGTCATTGTCGCATCGGTTTTGCATATTTGAGCATCTTCAGTCACCGCATAGTATGGAAATACTTTATCGACATCCAATTTCACTCGCGTGTTTGCATCTCCCAAACACTGTGATCGTGAAATTGAGGAGGGAATTTGGACAATCAAAAAAGTGACCTTAGAAACACTTATTATGTAAAAAAAACAAATATTACTTCACGCGCCTTTTTTTCTCTCCAATTCATCGTTTTCATATCTTTCTGCAGTTTGGTTTTTTTCTTGTCTTCAAATGAAATTTCTAAAGAGTTTTGTTGCAATAAAATTGCCTTTTTTTTCTAGCTGACTTTAATTGCCCACCAGGCGTCTCCATTGCAACCTTTCAAGAGCTTTCAACAGAGAGAAGTTCATGCCTTTTGTCGCGCAGCCGGCAAAAAGTCCGACGGTGTATGAAATGCGCCCTCCTGACACACAAATCATACACATCGTACTTTCATTTTCATCAAAATCTCCCATTGTGCATATTTCAAAGAGGGACGAGATGAAAAAAGCGATGCTGAAAATTAGACTTTGTAATTTACGGCGGATTACTCGAGACTATGCGTTTACCTGGGCTCAATTGGCAGACGGATTAAGTCGGTGTGTGTGTAAAAGATGCCTGACCTTGCTCAACAGAGTGTGCACAGAAATGTGAATTTCACAATTTCTTCATATCCCACTCACCGAAACTTTAATTATATTGGGCAAATTCTGAAACTCCATTGACTGCATTTGCCGCGCACGTTTATTTTTTTTTCCAGTAAACATCACCTTTCTGTGAAGGCTGACCTGGGTGTCTCTTGATCTTGTACGATAACTGGCCGTAAAATTGGCCAAACACGCAACATTCCGCTAATTTTCTAAGATCACAACATAATCAATGTATTTAATCACACATCACTTCTTCCGACAACTTGTTATAGTCGCGTAAACCTTCAAAAAGACTTTTCTAGAAGAAAATGATTAAGAAAATAAATTGAACAAAGCCGAAAGAAGAGCAATTTTATAAGGGATTTGACTGACTTTGACATAAAAATCAAGTGGTTTTTTTTCGAAATCCCAATAATAATGATGGTAGATAAAGGAATTTCACAAGTTTCGGTTGGAAGTAAATTTAACTACCCAGATTCAAAGGTCAAGTCTAGTTTATATTGTGTTGACATCAATTTTTCTAGACTATTCCTCGCGTGCTAATCTGACTCTCAATTAATGCAGTTAGAGAACAATAACAATTCAAGAAATTTAATATTTTTGTAGTTACATTAAAGGGTTCAGCGTATACAGTTCAATCAATATTATCTATCTACCTAAGATTTTACTAAGTGAAAAGTGCCTTCAAGTGCATTTTGTACAGTTTCTATGTTTTGTCTAGGGAATTTGTTAGAGTAGCTCGAATTGTATGGAAACATCTTACAAATGAACGTTGTTTTATACAGTTAAATTTGTAATTTAAATTTCATTCGTCTGATGGACTACGAATGCTGCGAAGCGTGCTTGAAAATTTGTACAGCTTTTAGGCGTAATTTGTTTCCACTTTGGAAAGCTCAGTGGAACACAATTTTTTTTTCTCGAAAAAGGTCATCTCTTGCAGAGTGGCAGAATAAAAGAGAGGAAATTGATGTCAAAGACCATCATTATATTTTTCACGTTCCTTTCTCATGCTCTTGTTTAATATGTAACCACTGAGATCGTAAACATATTTCTCATCGTTTATAGGAACTCTGAGCATGTGGAGAATTGGCAAGAGAAATACTCCACATATAGTAAAAAGCAAGTTTTACTTTGGTAATTTTGTGTGAATGGCACTCTCGTTGCCACCTTTTCCAATGCAAAGATATTCAACTCCAAGAACAATCTTCTAAAAGCTACATTGTTACATAAAAGCTCGATTTTTTTCCATCTCATTCTCCCTCGCTGTCCTCAATTTCGTCACACACTGAGAGAGGCAAGTTCGCAAAGCACATAAACTTTTTTGGGTTTCTGTCTATAGTGGGGAAAATGTGGAAAAGCGGGAGGAAGGAAAGTCAAAAACTCGATTAATCTTTTGTGGCAGAAAGATTCATTAGATATCCGTGGTGTATTTTGTGGTTACAACAATACAAATCAATTTCTTCCCTCTTCTTCACATGAAACAAATCAGAAGAAGTGCGCCTCTGTTTCACCTGAAAAGCCCAATGGGATTTTCACCCGAGGAAATGAGCACTGGAATGACAATTAATTCACCCTCAATAGCGTTCCATGATCGATTTCCTTAGTCATTTGTTCAGCCAACATGAAAAATTGTTCATTAGGGAATCATTTTCGCACCAGCAACTGTTGCATTGAGCGTATAATTTGGTGACACAGAAAAAGTTTATTGGTTCTTTTTGCATGTGTCTCAATATTAATAGGGCGTGTCAAAAGCAGGACTTTCGCTATGTATAAAATATTGAGCACGTGCAATTTATCTGGCAAAATCACGGAAGCTCCTCCATGTGCGATCTTCGGCATTGCAGATATGTAGATTGATTAGGACTTAGAAAACACAAAGAATCGCAGCCATCGCAGTAAATTTGTAGGTATAAATAGCGATATCAGCCTTTGAGAAGCATTTGTGTGCTTTATTGAAGCAATTAAAGCTGAGAATCATTCCCATATCACTCTTGTTCCTCCAGGCAAGATTTTCAAGTGAAAATAGGGAGAAGAAAGACTCCATAAATTGCTTTCATTTGAATATTTCTCATCCTTATTTTCTTCCAAATGCAAGAATATCATAGCAAGTATTTATGATAGAGAATAATAAATAAGCGTGATGGAATAAATCTTATGCAGAAAATCTCTCCATCTCGAGACTCCCAGAGATATATGCGGAGTTTGAGGCAAAGTAGAGATATCAAGATGTTCCATCGCACTTCCGCACGAAATCTCATGGATTTTCTTTGGCAAATACATTAAGTTGTGCGAATGTGTGTGCCAAAGTTGAACGCATGCTCGAAATTTGCTGTAATTAAGCAAATGAATTCCATTTGTGACGAGAAATATACATAGGATTTCCTGAAAATTGATGCTTCATTAATGTTTCATTAATCTTCAGTGTGATAGCGATTTAGATATTATATGAAAATCCATCGCACAAATACAATTCTCGAATCCAGGAAACCCAGAAAAATCATCCACGACGAATGTTCTTTGGATGTTGAGGATATTTTACTACTCTCTAATTAAGAGCAAATTGAATAATATGATAAAAGAATACTTTCCACCGCTAGAGGCTGAGAAATCTCATAACATAGCCTTGTGACCTCATTCTGTGAGACCGAGTATCGAATTATGCTTATGTAGTTTTCCACTCTGTTCAAAACTTCATATTCTCATGCTTTACGCCAAGGAATAATTGTTCTACTCGGTGAGGTTTCAGCTCAAAATTCCTCCACACAAATATCCTAACAAAAAGAAATGAGACTTGTCGGAAAGTTTTTGTAACGCCACATTCATGCAAAAGTCTTCGGATGAGGTGGTAATTTGACAATGGCAGAAATTTTTAATTGCGGTTTTCCTTCCTGTCATCGGGAAAAAGAGTTGGAAAACTTTGGAAATGAAATTAGTGTTTGAATTTGTGGTGTTAAAACAGAAACTAATTGAATTCGAGAGTATAACAACAATTCGGTGTGAATCAACAATTTTCCCAATTTATTTTTCACTGTGCTGAAGTTTGCAAGTTAGCTATATAGTTCTAA